AATGTTCTATCCGATAATCATCCTTGGACATTTGTGTGTAAAGCTCACCTTTGTTACATTAGCACCGCCGACAGTCTATAGATGACCTCACAGTTTTGAACGCGACTGTATGAACGAGGATCATGCCATCAACACACCTGCATGTCGCAGAACTTGTGGCAGTTATCATCCGCTAATTAGTCTTATAAAACGTCACCTATAGATGCGATGTTAATGGCCCACCTGCCATTTGTGGCCATATTTATTGGCTATTTGCAAATATTTGATCGCTGTTGATGCGAAATTGTGTGCAAACTGAAACCCTTTAGGTTTTGATAGTTTGTGTTTAAATTGTTATGCAATAACGCTTTTTTGTTCTATTTCAGTAAAATTGGGTTACTTCGCGCGTCTAGTTTTCCCCACTGCAATTGTTATAATCTTTGTTTGACGGTTTATCAGTGAGCAGTTCATGGCTTCCACATTTTTGTAATTTTTCTGTACCTGCGTAAACTTTCAGTAAAAATCCAATTGTTAAGAGAATGAGAAAGCGGTGGGAATTTGGTAATAAGAAGAGGGCGATGGAAAAAGTTAAAGAACAACAAAGGCGGGTTGTTGAAATTCATCAAAAGTACTACCATCAAATATGTGACACACAAGAAAGATGTTAACAGTAGATGTAGTTGCTACAATAAAACTTGATACCCAGTAAAAAGAAAGCTGCATTGATATTATAGTATAACTGAGACACACTCTTCAGTACTTTGCAACATTGGATTTTACGGTTGTTTTAACCTTCGAAACGTCCACTTATTTTACTGACTGCACATTCGATGACACAAAGCGTTTTGGTGAGTAGCTTGCTGCACCGTTTCTTGCTCTGGCTGACTCGCTTCCTATTTTTGTAGCATGCACAATATACCTTGGGTTCTGTCGCCTCCAGCTTCTATCCGGCACCCTATTTGACACGTCTCTTACATGTAATAACTCACCAACTATTATCTCAGTATCCACCAAGCAAATGGTGACCCCCTGTCAGGTACGCGCCGTCCGCCATTTTGAGTTTTCATTCTGGTGAGCTCGTTCCAGTGATTTTCTGATTCATTACTCCCTATGGTTTTGTTTTCTCACTTGCCGCGTATACTTATTCATTTCTCACGATTAATAGTCCGGATGATAAACCAGCTACCTAGGTGGTTAGTGCCGTGGAGCTAGCCTCTCCACCATTTTGGGAGAATGACCCGTTGTTATTGTTTGCGCATTTGGAATCCACTTTTTACAATTATAAAGTTTCAGCTGATAATGCTAAACATCATCAACTTAGGTCCCAGATGAGAGACATCAGAGTTTGCCCGCCTCCTGATGCATAATAAGAGACTTTAGAGCAAGCTATCATCCAGCGAATCACGCCCCCTGATAAGGTCTGACTGCAGCAGCTGTTTAGGGATCTGCAGCTAGGGGACAGGATGCCTTCAGCGTTGTTGCGACATACGCAACAGCTCCAAGGCACCTCCAGCATGGACGCAGGCATTCTCCGAGAAATGTGGATGCAAAACCTCCCGGAATACACACATCCATCCTTGCCGTGGCAAGCGCTCTGCCTCTTGCAGCAGTGGCAGAACTAGCAGACCGTGTCATCGAACGACATAAGCCAAATAACGAATCTAGGACATTCATTCGACTTAGCCCTGTCGTAGCCCCAGCGACATACGCGACTAGTGAGTCATCGGCAATCGACGCTTCATCATCGCAAATAGCGTCACTACAAGGCCAAGTCGAGAAACTCTCCCTAGATCCGAAGCAGTGCAGCCGCTCTGTCTCATCACCTCGTCGCACGAAGCCTAAAAATTTAGGCTTTTGCTTTTACCACTCGCGCTTTGATAGCAAAGCCCCTACCTGCGAGCAATCATGCAGTTTCTCTGCAGCCAAGCGGGAAAACATTCAGGCCCGTACTGGCGACTAACGGTGTCGACAAATCCCAAAGTCGTCGCATCTACATTAAGGAATATGACTACGAGACCAAGTTCTTAGTTTATACCGGGCCGGAAGTCAGCGTCATTCCCCTATATCAGATGAACCTCTCGTTTCTTTGTCGGCAAGCCTCAGTGCAGCCAGTGGCACACCAATAGCCACCTACGATCATCGGTCGCTTACCCTGCACTTAGGTCTTCGGCGCACGTTCCGCTGGGTATTCACCTTCGCTGCAGTCCCCTTTGCCATCATCAGCATTGACTTTCTCAGGCATTTCGACCTCTTGATCGTTGCGAAACGCCAGTTGATATTTGACAATGCGACGAAACTCAGTGTACGTGCTATCGCGGCTGATATCGCATTTATAACACTAGTCTACGCCTTTCCGCAGACCTCGCCAGACTACGCCTACCTCCTCTCCCAGTATTCAAAGCTCGTTCAACCAATGAACTCAGCGTGAATGCGTGACAGTCCAAGTCACGCATTACATACGGACGAATGGACCACATGTGTCATGCCGTCCACTCCGACTATCGCCCTGGAAACTAAAGTTAGCTAGGGCGGAGTATGAGCACATGCTCGAACTTGGAATAATCCGCCCTTCCGACAACCCTTGGTCCTCGCCCCGGCACCTGGTCCCCAAGAAGTCTGGTGACTTGCGCTATTGCGGTGATTACCGCGAACTAAATCGCCTAACCGTCCCAAATAGGTATCCCATCCCACACATGCAGAATCTTACCGTAAGCCTCACAGGTAAGACGATCTTCAACAAGATCGATCCGGTTCGCACCTATCACTAGATACCTGCAGAAGAAATTGACATTCATAAAACAGCCGTTATCACTCCTTTCGGCTTGTTTGAATTTTTAAGCATGCCATTTGGACTGTGCGATGCCGCACAAACCTTCCAACGCTTCATCCACGATGTTACTCTTGGCCTAGATTTCGCTTATTCCTACCTCGATGATATTTCAGTAGCCAGTTAATCGGAACAAGAGCACCTCGAGCATCTTCGAACTCTCTTCCAGCGCTTGACCAAACACGGTGTCACAGTTAACCCGATTAAGTGCGAATTCTGCAAATCAACCGTAGAATTTTTAGGCAACCTCGTTTTATCGTCTGGTATCGAAGTCCTTCCTGATAAGATCCAGATAATCAAGGACTTCCCAGCTCCGACTTCGTTTGGGCACTTTCGTCGATTTTGTGGTTTGATCAAATAATATCGACGCTTCATTCCGCGCTGCGCTTAACTCATGCAGCTATTGAATGACTTACTCAAAGGAAATGAACATAATTTCGCTTTCCGTGACACAGCACAAGCAGCCTTCGCAGAGCTCAAGGATGCTATCTCCAACATAGACCTCCTCGATCATTTCGAATCGACTGCGCCCCTTTCTATTACGACTGATGCCTCAGACGCCGCGGTAGGTGCCGTTATTTGACAACACGTTGGTGGGCGATGGCAACCCCATGGGTTCTTCTCCAAGCGTCTGCAGCCAGCGGAATCCCTCTACAGCACGTTTAGTATAGACCTGATCGCCATTTAAATAGCCATTCGTCACTTCCGGCACACACTTGAAGACCGCACTTTCACGGTCTACACTGACCACCACCCCTCATCTTCGCCTTAAACTCTGCTTGCGACAAATACTCACCACAGGTAACAAGACACCTAGACTTTGTCACGCAGTTCACTGCTGACATACGTAATGTCTCAGTTGTCGACAAACCCGTTGCCGACGCTCTCTCACTCGTCAACCTCACTCTCCAGTCTTTGCCTACCGTCGACCTTTCTGCCATGGCATCGGCTAAGGCTCAGGATGACGACATACAACGCTGTCTGCACTCAACTTCGCTGCATGTACAACCTGTTCCTCTCCAAACCACGGAAGGAACCATTCTGTGACACTTCCACAGCTTGTCCTAGACCCCTCGTGCCCGTCTCCTTCAGACGCACAGTCTTTGACGCATTGCACTCACTATCACATCCCGGTATCCGTACATTTTTGAAACTGGTAACCGAACGTTTTGTTTGGCCACGCGTAAACAAAGATATTCGTACCTGAGCTCGTGCCTACCTTCAATACCAGCGCTCCGAAATACATCGTCACACCCGCGGTCCTATTGGTTCATTTCCTGCCCCGGACTCTTGGTTCTCGCATGTACACTTAGACCTGGTAGGTCCGTTGCCTCCATCACGCGGATTCGTATACATTCTTACATGTGTCGACCGCTTCACCAGATGGCCAGAAGCCATTCCCGTAACAGACTGCACAGCTGAGACTGTTATCCGGGCCTTCTTAGACCGGTGGGTCTCGCACTACGGATGCCCATCCACCATTACAACTGACCGTGAAACGCCTTTCGAATCTTCACAATTAGATACGTTCTGCAACTTTTTAGGCTGTCGCCGCATTCATACCACAGTGTATCACCCAGCAGCCAACGAGTTAGTTGAACGCTTCCATAGACAGCTTAAAGCCTCGCTCTGCGCCTCCTCCAACCCACGCTGGAACGAGAACGTTTCGCTCGTACTCTTAGGCATTCGTAGCAACATCAAAGCTGACTTACAATGTGCACCAGCAGAGCTAGTTTACGGCATAACGCTAAAGTTGCCTGGAGAATTCGTTTCATCTCCCGCATCGTTGGGTATGCCTCCGCTTAACTTTGCGTCCTTCCTAGCTCAAGGCATGCGTTCACTACGCCAGACTTCGCCCCGTGAACAGACTAGAGTTGTGCAAATGCACAGCGGAATCTCTACCTGCATTCACGTCTTTCTCCGCACCGACGCGGTGCGGCACCCTTTCCGGCCTCTCTACACTGGTCCTTTCAGAGTTCTGCAACAGACTACGGAACATTTTACTTTAGACCAGAATGGTCACCGAACAACGGTGTCCATCGACCGCCTCAAAGTGGCTTTCTTTGACGAGCCACTTGCAACCCATCCTGATGCTATCACACAAGCACCCGCACCTGCGGTGACTTACCGAGCATTGCATATCCTGAAACCCTCCGCTCCCCTTGACCCTCAATCTACATCCTTGTGCACATTAATTGAAACAAACTGCGAAAACACTGAAAAACCTTTTTTCAAAATTGTTATAATGAATTGCACTAATATACTCACATCAATACACAACATGACCTCCTCGACTTTTGAGTAGCATTTTAATACGGTTTGGCATGGAATCCACTAAATTTGAACAAACTTTAGCCCATCTTGGGTCCCTGTACCAAACTTGAATTAAAGCTTGATTAAGTTTCTCCTTTGTCGTACAGTCCATGCCACGAAGGCGTTGCTTGCAAATAGACCACATATTTTCAATGGGGTTTAAATCTGGTGAATTCCCAGGCCAGTCCAAGATGGTTATTTGATTAGTATTGAAAAAAGTCTTGACCATTTTTGATGTGTGGCACGGGGCCAGATCTTGTTGAAATACGCCAGATCCGTCAGGAAATGTCTTTCTATTCCTTTCTCCCCAAAATCACGTTTTAATGCGTCACTAGTCTTTCGAGGATCTTTAACACTTTCCCGTATTAGGTAATCGTCATCCCTGGCAGTGGTTTTCCTCTTAGGACCACATTTCCCTTTGCGTTTTGGCGAAATGCATCCCGTTTCCTTTTTCATTTTGACCACACGGCTGACGGTTGCCGGACTGACGCCTACTATTCTTGCTATGTCCCTGTAGGTCTTGTCTGTGTGTTCGTGCAAGGTCACGATCTTCATGCGCCTTCTGGGAGTCACGTCCATCTCAAACAATGACTGAATCACAAAAAAAGAAGTTGAAACAAAAACCTTACTAACCATAAAAGTATGATGCAATCTTGGGTGATGTAACGACTAGACATGCGCAGTTATTACATCGTCTGATTCACAAACAATGATGAAATATCTATTCCCAAAATAAAATAAAAAATAAATGCAAAACGGCAGCTTTCATGTATAAAAACATGATATTCATAGAAAAAGAGACACAATCGTAGTTTGTTTCAATTAATGTGCACAAGGATGTATATCTCCTCAACTACAGACAACCGACGTATGCGAGAGACAAGTCAAAAGTCCGGTCCGTTTTTCAGATTTGTAAACTTTTGCTACTTAAATTAACACGCCATTTACGTCTTTAGTGGTTATGG